GCTATTTTCTGACTGCGTACGACGTGCCACGTCTGGTGCTTCGCAATATGTTGTGGCGAATGTCAGCGCTGTATATGACCTGTTAATTACCTTGGCTGTGTCGCGATCTAAGTTCGCATGGTGTCATTAGTCGGTAATCCTAACAAGGTTTTGGGTAACTTGGAAGTGCTCGAGGGTCAGGCGTATCGCTTACAAATTCAGTGGCGCTATAAAACCGAATGACGTTGAAACTGTCTGTGTAGGCCTTTCCAATGATCTTTGCAGGTCAGCGTACTCAGTACCAAGCAAAAAGCTGATGCCGACCTACGCGTAAGATTCAGAGGGTGCATTGTCAGGAATTTGGACGAAGCCAAGTTGCCCATGGATGTCCAGCTGTTAAAGGTCATATGATAATGTCTTCGAGGTTTACGCGTGGGTAAAAAATCGAAGCTGTGAAATTGTTTCGGACACTTCTAATTAATCTGCACATTCCTAGGGTAAAAAGGAAGGCATATGTCTGACTAAAATGACATTTTTGAGACACCGCTTGGGTTCAGCAACGTTATGCTCAGTCATCAACCTTCAGTATGCCAGAACGTACCGGGTAAACGCCAATATAAAGCAAACATCGGCCCTATTCCCAACAATCCATGTGCCAACCCGTGTTTATGATCACGCTAAGAACGCTGAGCTTGCAATGCCGAAACACGAGGAACTGAATGCCCTCGTTGCATATGTCAAGTTGGTTAGCCCCTGAATATCAATCTAAATATAAATGTCAATTTCCCACTTTCTTCAGGGACTTGAATTTTCTCTGGGCCTTAAGTTTCAACGATTTTTTTGGCTGGCTGCACAGAACTTGCACGCATGCATGCAAGCACGACTTCCTGAGCAAAATGCATGCACGACTTCCTGAGCAATGATCGACGGCCATGTCCAGCTTTTCCACCTTGCAGACTAATTTCAGACGATTACCAGCCAGCCATCCGTCTTAGCATTGATAGGTAGGTCGTGTCGCTTTTGCCTGCTAGCCACTATGCTGTCGCGGGCGAGAAAGGATTGAGGCACAAAATTCCTCATCTGGTCGAGATAGACGGAAAGATTAGTCGTGATCCCATATCCGTGATGATGTGATCGGGTCGTGCACCTAACTGGCCATTGCGTGCCAGCAGAGACGGAACGGTGCGAGCTGGTAGGAAGCAAGCCACTGAGAGCAGCTTTGATTTATCAAATACTAGCGCACTGATACGTGTGATGGGATTGAGTGCAACTTTTTACGAGGTCGTTAGTATTAACTATTGTTATTGGTAAACATGAGTTATGTGGACCAAACTGAAAAAAACCATGCTGAGGATATTTGGCGCTGGTGCGGGCAATATGGTCCTGTGGCACTGCTTTGCACATTCCTTATGATTTATTGGACGCATTCCTCGTTGTCACTTAAACTTCAAAGGCAAAGAAGCCACCATACGTCAATGTTACAATTATTATCGGTAAGCGTGGGTGGGAAAGGCGAGACATTTCAAAGCTCCCGCCCGTTTGGTGCCCAGCGTCCATACAACGGGTTTGAGTGCTGACCCGACCGCCCGCTGTCCCTGTCCGCACGCCGGTGTCCTCCGCACCACCGACAAGGACCGGTCCGCTTCCGCGACCTGGGGCGCGCTCGGCGGCGCCGGCCTTGGTCTCGTTGACGTCACAGCCGGGGACCGGCGGTCCCCTGGCTGTCCGCGGAGCCGTGGCGACGCCCGGCCCAAGTGGACAGCGCCATCCAGCAATAACATCCCAGGGCGGGTCGTGAGCAAGCGGGTCTCAGACAGCTGCTGCAACAGGCGGACGGCTCCGTGCCGGCTGGCTGGTGCTGACGTCATGGGCAGGGGCGCCACCAGGGCTGGACACCCAGGGAGAGGGCCAGCGGTGTTTTGGACGGAGCGGTCATTTCGTACCTACGGGGAACAGACCTTTGTTTTAGGGAGCAAGCCTTCGGGGCTATGAGATTGTTGACATCTGCATGATACCATTGCCAGATGTCAGCAAGAGAAGTGCTATGCGAACATGTTTACTCAATATGCTTACAACTTGACGGCACAAATATTCTCTTCTAAGATGTGTCTTTTTACGCTACGATTCGATCATAGGCGTGGAAAGGATGCCCAACAAATTTAAGAATGGCTCTAATACCTGTCATGTGTCAGTTGACGTAGCTCCATTTAAGCCGCTGATTTGGAGCGTGGTGACAAATGGAAACAAGGGTACGTGTAAGACTGGGTCCCGGTTGCGATCGTGCCAAATCCCGCAGCGCTCACTGAGACACGCTCCCAGGATCTTGCCGTAAAGAAGAGCACGCTGCACGCAATTATGAGGCAGGGTCTCCGGCAGCTTCCGTATGGAATACAGCTACAGCACAAACGCTAACCCTGCAGCCACAGCACAAACAGTCGATTGCAGGCAAAACAAGCAAGTGTTCATACGCAGACAATTTGAGGAAAATATGGCAATGACCTCGGATTTCTTCGAACACATCTTGCTTTCCGATGAGAATCATTTCACGATCTTCTGGGGGATATCTCTACCCATGCAACGCCAAAGCCTGCTGTTCGGCCGCGAATGCGCTGCGTCGGCTGTCACTGGCGGCTGTGAAGCGGCCACTGTGACGGGGGAGCGTTACAATGCAGCGCACAAGAAGCTCTCGCGACGCCTGAGCCGACGGCGAGGACCTCCTCGGGCGTCTGAGTGGTTTTAACGGGACGGTGGTGCCTCTGGCGAGGGCTTCTTTGGGCATCTGAGTGGTTCCAACAGGACGGTGTTATTTCTGGCGAGGGCTTCCTCGGGCATCTGAATAGCTCTTACAGGACGGTGTTATTTCTGGCGAGGGCTTCCTCGGGCGTCTGAGTGGTTCCAACAGGACGGTGTTATTTCTGGCGAGGGCTTCCTCGGGCATCTGAATAGTTCCAACATGACGGTGTTACCCATGGCGAGGGCTTCCTCGGGCATCTGAGTGGCTCCAACAGGACGGTGTTACCTCTGGCGAGGGCTTCCTCGGGCGTCTGAGTGGTTCCAGTGGGACGGTGTTACCTCTGGCGAGGGCTTCCTCGGGCGTCTGAATAGTTCCAACAGGACGGTGTTACCTCTGGCGAGGGCTTCCTCGGGCGTCTGGGTGGTTCCAGTGGGACGGTGTTACCTCTGGCGAGGGCTTCCTCGGGCGTCTGAGGGGCTCCAGTGGGACGGTGTTACTTCTAGCGATGTCTTCCGCGGGCACCTGAGGGGTTCCAGTAGAACGGTGCACACAGAGAAACTCACCGGACGGAGTAATCACCTCGAATTACAGCTGACATGCCTGAAGTCCTCCAACGAGTCTGCCCTGCGCGCATTAAATGTTGCCCCACTCCCTCCACAGACTGGATGGCCAGTCTTTGGGCTGGAAAAAAGGAGGTATAGAGGAGCTAAAGGTGGTTATCAGCATTGGAGTCCATTCTCTTGGCGTCGCAACCTGCGCCGGGCTCGTTCAGATGCTTCAAACACGGTACCACTGCCAGTCCGCGCCAGCATCGTGGCCGTCTGGCACATGTCCTGTCAGACTCGAATTGAACCAATGGAGACCTTAAAGGGGCACAAGAATATTCTCGGGGGAAGCGAGTTATCGGATACCTCGCTCACCAGGTCGGCAATTTCAGCATCTCACGTAACCCCGCGTTATGCGTATGATGCTCCGGGAAGCGAAGAGGACATTGGTCCGCTTCATGGGCGCTTCGGCGCTGGACGGTCTCATCAGTTGTCCTGGCACGTGTGCGGTGCTCGCGATGTCGTCAGACTGACGGCGGCGAGCTCGCGAGGAGGCGGACATCTGCGAGGCGATCGCGGGAATGTGGAGGCCACGCGGCCTCTCCCGACGGAGACTGGTGCAGGTGTCGCTGGCTGCCGCCTGTGAAACGGCCTTTGAACAAGACGGATGGAGTCCGTGCATTTATGGACACCCACACCACGTCGGGTTCAGGCTAGACCTTCCTCGACCCCCCTTCCTACCCCCTCCCGGCGTGATGGAGGCTGAGGTGCGGGTGATACACTGAGCGGTTCAGCCTGGACTTCCCTTGACCCACCCTCCCCCCCCCCCCCCGGCGTAATGGAGGCTGAGGTGCGGCTTGTACGCTGGACGGTTCAGCAGTGAGGTGGGCGGAGAACGACAGCTCTGCGCACTAATCAGCAGCCTTCGGACACGCCTGCTGGGTGGCGGCCATTATTTGACACGCGGCTAGCGACAGGGGCTGTAAGATTTCACTAGCAGGAGCTGGTATCGTGGCCTCCTCTTTGCTATTCCCAACGCCTCTCCGAACCGGGCGCGGACGTTCTGACTGGACGCCGAGCTGCCCGGCGTCGGAGCCAACACCGGACCACGCCCATGCCAGTCCGCGGCTAATGGGGGGACGGTGGGCCGAGAGGCGCTCTGAATCCGACCTCGTCCGCAAGCCGCTGTTATGGAAGCCGTCAAACTCCGCCCGCCGTTTTTGTGACGCATTTGGACTGATCTATGACTGGGCCATCATAAATGACTCATTCTCGATCCGTGCGTTCCTTTCACGTTATATCCATCTCCTTGATCTGGCGGCCAGCAAGACAGCAAATCAATTCAGCGTGAGGTTATTCGAGTCCACAGCGAGTGGGCAAACATGTTTGTGGAAAGAGAGGTCATTTAAAGCGTGACAGTGTGGTTTATTTTTATTGTGAGGTAATCACCCATGTGGCTTGTAGCTGTCGGGATTGCCAATGTGATCGCAGTCTTCTCTGCACGTCGCCGGTACCAAACCGTCTTTGGAAGCTTCGTGTGTAGATTGGGATGTTTTGGCATGCACTTGAAATGCGACTTTGAATTTGCGACCTGATTGCTATGGATTGCTGCCTTCCCGGTCGTCGCCCAACAAACAGCATTTAGTGATCATGGGTGTGCACCGCTACAATGGACGCCACCCGCTTCGTACGGCTGTCACAAGTTGACCGGATGAGCAGCTGAAGTCACCCGCCGCCGACAGAGAGGTGACCGATGGCGACACCTGGGAAACTCTGGCGGACGGGCACACCTCCGTCATGTTCGGACCCATCCGTAAGAAGGTGGAGGATAACATGCGGAAATCGGAGAAATGCTGGGAGGCGGTGGTCAAGGTAAGCAATCATCAGGAAAATCCTAGAGCAAGCTCAGGGAGCTTCTGTAACAGCAGCTAAGGGAATCGCTCGTTTTTATCCCACGAAGTTCATTGTAGTCTGTGGTGTATCTAGCTGTAACCCCTTTACTGCTCTGCGCCTGTGCATAACTCTGGCTGGGTGACGTTAACAGATTTCATATCGCATGCACTAATAATGAAACGCGTGTTTTTCACTCCGGCCCCTCTGGTCATTCTGGTCTGGCCTGGTCACTGTGGTCTGGCTCACTCTGGTCGTCTGGTCGAAGTCCCTTGCAATTTGTAATTGCCTGGAGCGTAACTTCGACGTCGGGCTGTAGCCTGATCAACATTGTATAACAAAGCAGGCTTTCATAGCAGACGATAATGATACGATCAACTTCACGCTCATCCCCGCCCAACCACCCAATCATCACCAACAGATGGCACTCACCCTCATCTCGGCTCGCTTATCCCCACCTAACCCCACCTAAGCATCACCAACGGAGGGCACTCACTCTCAGCTCAGCCCGCTTATCCCCACCTAACCCCACCCAATCACCACCAACAGAGGACGCTCACCCTCATCTCGGCCCACTTATCCCTACCTAAGCCCACCCAATCACCACCAACGGAGGGCACTCACCCTCATCTCGGCCCGCTTATCCCCATCTAACACCACCCAATCACCACCAATGGAAGGCACTCACTCACATCTCGCTCGGCCCGCTCATCCCTATCTAATCCCACCCATCACCACCAACGGAGGGCGCTCACACTCATCTAGGCTCGCTCATCTCCACCTAACCCCACCCAATCACCACCAACGGAGGGCGCTCACCCTCATCTCGGCCCGCTCATCCCCACCCCAATCCACTCATCAGCCATGGCAGCTTTTTCTTCCTCATCTCAGCTCACGCATGCTTACGTCAACCTGCTCCTTTTCATCGCTACTCACTATCCTCCTCCTCGATACACTCATTCTCATCTCCGTCCACGCCTCTGTATTTCGGGCCACTTTCTTTGTCTCAACTGCCCCATCCTCTGAATCGGCGACGTGTGACAGCAAACGCGCGTCGACAGACGGCGCCGGGCCAAGTGGACCACCTGTACAACTACATCGCCTCCTCCTGTGAGGTGTTCTCTCTGCATCTGGGCGAGCGCGAGCGGTACGCCAAAAAGCTGGAGCTTCAGCTACAGGTGAGGCCGAAGACGATGGTGTTGACGCCGATCAACGCTCCAGCGACATCCATTACGCCTATGCGCTATGTTTGCTGTTAGCTCTTGATTTGTGGTCATCAGTATCGCTCATCCATGCTTATTCACGGTCCGCCATTTCCAAATCTTCCTTACAATTAGCAGATGCCCGTCCCATTACTGAGCTCTGCCTGTGTTAGTCGATGTTATGCATGAATATAACAAATGGTTTGAGCATGTTTCGCTTATTTTTATCCGCTCAAAATGCGTGGAGCCGACGCTCGGCCGGAGAACCTCCCTGTGTTGAGGTCATAGGTCATTGACGAGGTTGATGATGGCTGTGTTCTGGACCACATATTGAACGCCGCGCCAGCACCTCGCGAAGCCGCTCACGAGGGCCGTTGATACCATGGACGCAGGCAGCTGGGCCCATGTGCTTCGACCCGTCACCCAGCGGCAGTGTCACACGTGGCTTGAGATGCGCTGCGTGCATGCGTGCCTGCGTGTATGCGTGCGTACGAGCATGTTTGTATACGTGCATGCGTGTGTGCGCGCATACGTGTATGTCTCCACACGTGCGCTCGTGAGTGCGTGCGCGCGTGTGCGCGTGTGTGTGCGTGTATGTGGCCGGATGCCCGGACAGCGCCCGTTCAATAGTTCCATTGCTGGCCGCCAGGCGGTGGACACACAGCAGGCCGGCAAGGAGGCGCAGCTAGAGCAGAAGATCAACAAGGCCGTCATCAGCATGCTGGAGGAGTCCAAAGTGAACAAGGTGCACCAGATCCAGCAGACGCTGGCGCGCACCATGCAGGGATTCCTGCCCACTTACGAGCAGTTCCAGGTGAGGAACAGCGCGTTGCCGGCTACACTTCCGGGACGGCGACAAATAAATGCGAAAGAGCCAACTGCAAAAACTGCCAACTGACTTCAAGAGAATGCTTCACATTTAAAGCGATTGCATCAAGCATCAGATATGATGAAATAAGCTCACTTAAAGCTATTGATATACTTTAAAGTGGAAGAGACTGCTCCAGACAACACAAGTTCTCTTTTTAGTAACTATGACCCTTCATTCCGTCATTTGTCCACTGCGTCATCGTGCCTTGCACACCATTGCTTAAGAGTCTGTTGACGGCCGCTGCATCTGGATATCGTACTCACGAACGCCAGATATAAACAACTTGGCAATGATATGCTTATTGGCCTTGATCGCCGCATGACCAATGGAATGCCCGGACTGGAATGACGTTATTATGGTGTCATGAATGCCTGAATAACCTTGAAATAGCCTGCACTACAAAATCTGCATAAGATTATATGTGGTGGTACAGTACTTGTACAATGCAAGGCATGACAAGTATTTAAAGGGAATTCAGATGACCTCCACACAATATTTATGTACGTGACGATTGTCAAGTAAGTTGTATTTTTGATGAATTTTCGGTCACGAACTTTGCTTACGGAGTCAAAAATTCAACTATAATCATACATACTAATAAAATAACTACATATAGCATATACGTATTATATATTCATATATGACTATAGCGATTATATAAATATTGACCCTGTGAGACCCATTACTGAAAATTCATCTACAATGCAACTTACTTAACACGCGCTCGGGTGGGGGTCAAATTGACCCTCGGAAAGTTTTTCCAGAATGGTTTTCGAACGGCACGGCATAGCCGGGCCAAAGTTTGCATAGATGTTGAAAATTAAATATCGGATTGTTTGGTATAAAAAATCTAGACATACCTCGTAAAGTCGCTGACGTATGGCAGGTCAAAGTCAGGCCATGGTCTCAGCAAAGCCAACTTCTAGGGAATCGTTCAATCTGATGCAACAACGGAGTGCTTGACGAAGCTGCACATCTCTGGGATGCTTTATTAGGCAACACAAACATTGAATGAACAAATTAAGTTGACCTATGGTCAGGTATGATGGTCAGACCAAGGTCAAAATAAACCTGTTTTATTGCTCTAGGGCTTGCTATATGGGGTATTTTCCGGTGCTCATTTTGAATTCATTGATAGGAGGAACAGCATCATACATCTTCATTTGACTTCTTAAAGGTCATAATAGGTCATTGACCTAAGATGACCCAGGTCGACATTTTTTAAAGAGCATACCGCCTAGCGTAATCTTTGTCCCTTATTCAAATTCAAACTCAGAGCAGTCTGGTATGGTTTGTATCACCATGACCTTCAAAAGGTCAAGCAAGGTTACTGATCTTAAATGAGCTTGTGACCTTGTGCTTAGGAACAGTTATCTAGGCTCTGGGATCTTTGGAGACGAACCTGGAATTTAACCTTATTTGACCTTATCTGACCCAAAGATTATGACCTAGTGGCCTCAAAATTTGACTTAAGTGAGCTCACGTACAGATCAACACACCCTGCAAGTTTGGTGTCTCCAGCTTTCTTAGTTCCAGAGATCTTACTGGGTTCAAATTGACCCCACCCGAGCGAAGGGTATCAGCCGGCTACCCGGGTGCGTGTTAACGAACATAAAGTATATGAGTATTGCAAGGATTTCATCTCGATTCACTTTTATACAAAATAATCTGCACATCTTCATGGGCGCTTAGCTCAGAAACTAAAGGGTCTTAGGTCTTGGTCGTGCGCTTGGTCGGGGCCAAATTAGCCCCACCCCGCAGGTTTTTCCAGAATGATTTCCGAACGGCGCGGCGTAAACGCGCCAAACTTTACAAAGGTGGAAAAACCTGAAAAGCGGATCCCTTGATGCAAAAGTGTTAGATGCATCTTCTAAGGTCGCTGACCTTATCAAAGGCAGATTAAAGTCAGACCATGGCTGTCGGTGAAGGGCATCTTTATGAAATCGTTCAATGTGATGCAACGAGTGTTAGACGAAGCCTTACATATCGGAGATAGTTTCATAGGAAATAAACCGATTGCACGTAGAATAGCATCCAATTCCATTGACCTAGGGTCAGATATGAAGGTCAGACCGAGGTCAAAACTAATCTGCTTTTTTACCCGGGGCTTGGTGTATGCGGCAGCTTCTGCTGCTCATTTGAATTTTTAAGAATGGGGGGCCGCAACAGACAAATGGTAAAATAGGAGCATCTCGTAGTCATTTGGTGACTTTGACCTCATAAAGGTCAGACAAGGTCACCGACCTTAGTTGAACGCCATTGGTCTTTTGCTTAGGACAAGTGTTTAGCCTTACGGCGGTTGCACGAGGGGGCTTGGGGACACTTCAGACACCATTCTGAAGGTTGACCTTGTGTGCTCTTATTTGACCCCATGGCTATAATCTAGGATTATCAAAGTTTGACACAAGGGATCTCATATACAGGTCAACCAGTCTTGTGAATTAAGTGTCTCATCAATTAAGTGTCTCTTAAACTTTCTCAGTTTTTGAGATCTCAGGTGGTCAAAACCCCCACCCGAGTAAATCGTATTCGACCGGCCACCTGGAGGCGTGTTAAGATGGGCAGGACTGTGAACCACACCGAATGCTCGTTAACATGGCTATTTCAGTTCAAAAGGCTATACATGTGTGAAACACTCCCTGAAATCGCGTGCGGAAATCCAGTTTTCTTAAATGTAAAGCAGCCGCGTATTGTTCCTCATGTGCCACCTTATTTGCTGACAGAGAGCGTAGCCTCCCGAGGCGGGTCAGGATGATGCGAAAGTGTGGTAACCTCCCGTGGCTGATCAGGATAATGTGCAAGCTTTGCGGTATCTGAACAGCGTGTTACCCACTACTGTGCCCCGACAGTAATGGGCGCAGCCAAGCGAGAAAGAACCACCCCCCCACCCCCACCCCCCACCCCCACCCGGTTTTTCGTCTTTCGTCGTGTTATGCTGCGCCGCGTCGGCACAGGAGCGGCGCCTGCTGCTTCTGCTCGCCTACAGTGAGAGGCTCGAGGCCGAGACAAGCCTGGCGCTGGCCAACGTATCCGAGAAGCTGGAGGGCACGGTGACGTCGGCCGAGCCGCCGCCGGAGGAGCCTCCCGAGGGGCTGCCACCGGCTGCTGGCCCCCTGTCGCCGGGTGAGTTGGGCACATGCCAGCTCCAGGGTGATGATGAGCGACGATGGGGCGTTGAGGTGATCAGCTGTGCTGTCTAAAGCCGGTGCCGCAGTCGAACCCGGTAGCTTGAAGTTGAATGTCCATTAAACTGGAAATCAAGCCAGCTGAACTTTACACGTGTTAGTGGCATATCTGTCAGAAAGAGCATATCTATGCACGTTTTGTATCCAATTTTATTTCTTGACCGTGATGGCAGGGCCAAATAGTTAAATAATGCTGTCACGTCACTGGCGGCGCTATTTATATCGTGGTCTCCCGGAATGAGGTCGCTGATTATCCTGATCGTATTCGGCCAATTCCATGCAGGTTCTTCTTGCGCCTGAAATCCTGGCCGAGCTGCAGTCCCTGTCCGCGGCTAACATCCACTGGTTTCTCTCGTGGGAGCGGCGCAGACTGGAACAGGACCTGGGGGGACTTCTTGCTGGACAAGCTGAAGGCCATGAAGGCCGTGTTTAACAGAAAGGCTGAGGAGCTGTCGCTCAGGTATTTAAGACATCTGTGGCAATTACGACCACTGCTGACACCAACGATATGACTGTTTAATGTTGCTGTGTTTATGTAGCACAACTATTGTGTGTATGGTATCGCTGGTAGACTCTTAACCCACTGGCAATGTTTTGGATAGCCATTCATATCGATGCTGTTCAACATAACACAAGAGCTGCATCAGTGTTGCAAGTTTTACGCGAAAATAATTGCTGCTTGATTTAATCGCGTGAGTTATGTTTTATTGTGCTATCAGAAAATCGTGTGCCTGTGTCGTTCATCAAATATGCTATATCGATGATAGCGCAGATTATGTTCTAGATCATCCTTAATGCTAGGGCGATACATCTAACACTAAACACCAACCCTTGAAATTGGAGCGCACGTTTAAGAAAGGTGAAAATAACAGGGCCCTCAAACTGTTCCACTGCATGGGAGCTCATTAACGACTGATTGGGGGTGCATCGCTGATCGCCGCCCCTCGCCAGATCTGCTGGGTAAATACCAGCGACATAAACACAGGGCGCTGCGCAGGGCCATGGCCAATGCTGATGTGAAGAGATTATATGTTTATTGACAAGGGAACTTGGCCTAACACAACTGTTCTCAGGGTGCCGAGATTGAGACGACAGTACACGACCGTCGCTCGTCTGAGATTCAGCTGCACCAGCAGCGAGTGGACAGCCACTGCCGATCCGTCAGTGAGCAGCTCGCGGTAACGGCCTCGGGCGCGCCGCCTGTCATCACCTACCGGCCATGCTCGTCCGTCGACGGCAGGATTCTGTGCTATATCGTTCGGGCTATTGTTGGATGCATCTTTTAATGCTTTCTTGCATAGGCATCAGAGGTGTGGTCCCATTTAGAAATGTTGTTCACTTATCAATCGACCTATCCATTTCCATCCACCTATCTGCATTCACTCATCGGAACGACATTCTTCATTTTCTCCGACCCCTCCCTCCTCCTCCTCCTTTCTCATTCTCCCCCCCTCTCTCTCTCTCTCTCACTCCCTCTTTCTCTCTCTCTCGCTCTCTCTCTCTCCCCCTCTCTCTCCCTCTCTCTCTCTCTCTTCCTCTCCCTCTTTCTCTTTCTCTCTCTCTCTTCCTCTCTCTCTCCCTCTCTCCTTCCTTTTCTCTCTCTTTCCTTCTCTCCTCCTCTCCTCTCTGGCTCTTACCTTCTCTGTCCGGGAGCTGTTATGATTGCTCGGCGATGCCCTTCGGAACCCCGCTCCGTTTTTCAGTCCGGGCGACCTCCAGCTGACCAGTCATGGCCGACATCCCGTGCATCCGTGCCCGACCGCAGACGCCCCCCCCCCCTCCCCCCCCTCTCACTCCTCCCCTCCGCCGCTCATCCCGGCTTGTTACAGTTAGACACGGCCCCCAGAGCAGGACCGCAGGGTGGGGAGAGCGCCCCGATACCATCTGATGCGCCCCTCTGCAGAGCGAGCGTGCTGCCGTGACCTTGCCGCGTGCGGCCCGAGGCGGGGCGGGGCGGGGCGGGGCGGGGCGCGGGGCGGCGGGATGGCCTCGCCCCCGGAGCTGGCACACGCCCGGCCGACGCTGCCGGCTACCGGGCGACCCCGCCACAGCGCGCGCAGTTACGCTCGGCCGTGCGCTGACTGTCTTCCGGGCAGTGAGGGGTCGCTCGCACCCCGCCTCAGCGCGCGCAGTTACGCTCGGCCGTGCGCTGGTTGTCTTCCGAGCAGTGAGGGGTCGCTCGTAGCCCGCCTCAGCGCGCGCAGTTACGCTCGGCCGTGCGCTGATTGTCTTCCGGACAGTGAGGGGTCGCTCGTAGGCCCGCCTCATACGCGTGCGCAGTTACGCTCGGCCGTGCGCTGACTGTTTTCCGGCAGTGAGGGGTACGCTCGCACCCGCCTCAGCGCGCGCAGTGTACGCTCGCCGTGCACTGACTGTTTTCCGGCAGTGAGGGGTCGCTCGCACCCCGCCTCAGCGCGCGCAGTTACGCTCGGCCGTGCGCTGACTGTTTTCCGGCAGTGAGGGGTCGCTCGCACCCGCCTCAGCGCGCGCAGTTACGCTCGGCCGTGCGCTGACTGTTTTCCGGCAGTGAGGGGTCGCTCGCGCCCCGCCTCAGCGCGCGCATTTACGCTCGGCCGTGCGCTGATTATCTTCCGGGCAGTGAGGGGTCGCCCGCACCCCGCCTCAGCGCGCGCAGTTACGCTCGACCGTGCGCTGGTTGTCTTCCGGGCAGTGAGGGGTCGCTCGCACCCCGCCGATTCGCCTGAGCGTTCCCTGAAGGCGAAGGCCGCTGATGGTATACGTCGACGATTTTCAGCGCTGGTGGACTGCATGGTGCGTTTTCGTGGGGGTTGAAATTGGGCGTGCGTAGATGCATCCGCGTGGAAATTATTCATATGGCGTGTCGAATATGTGCGCTTTTAAGCGAGTGGCAGAGGCACACACACGCGCCTTCGCTGCGCATATACCCAACATGTGTGTGCTTTTGTACCTTTGGGTGTTAGCGTTATGTGCGAGCGGGTCTGCATTGCCTGGTGTGCCCCAGCCGGGCTGACCCGCGCGTGCTCTCGGGCCGCGCGCGTCGTCGGCAGGATCTACAGTCGCTCCTGAGTGCCGAGCTGGAGTGCATGCAGGAGCGGCTGGCCGAGGACCGCGCCTGGATGACGCAGCACGAGGCACGCTCGCGCTCGGCCACGCGCAGCTACGTCCTGGAGATGATGCTGACGCAGATGACGCAGCGCGAGACGCGCTTCGTCGAGTATCTGGTGGAGCGGTCGGGCGTCTTCCGGCAGCGCGTGACTGCGTTTAGCGCCGACCTGATCGCCAGCACGGAGGCGTTCCTGGATCAGCTGATCCCGCAGGCCGACCCGACGGAGACCGTGGAGACGCACGCGGCCGACGCCGGCGGCGCGGCCGACGGCGCCGGCGCCGGCGCGTCGCGGCAGCAGGCCCAGCGGAGGTCGGGAAGGTGCAGCAGGAGCTCGGCGGGGAAGCGGAGCGCGGCGTCAGCGGGCCGGGCCGACACCAGACGGGGCTCGTCGGCTGGAGGCTCGGCCAGGAAGCGCAGCCCGCGACGGCCCGTGGTCCGGCGGGATGACAAAGGCGAGGCTGTTATTGGGAATTTCAGCAAAGATGAGATCTCCAAGTATCGGGGGTCGTTGAGGAGGCTGCTGCTCACCATTGACCAGACGGGAAAGGCGCACGTCAAAAGTCTGGAGCACAAAATGGAAATATTGTGCTCGCTTCTGGATGAATCTATTCGAAGGGTGGACGCTAGCATTAGGGGTCAGATTGGAGATGTTAAGCTGTCTGAAAGCATGCAGCACAGCTTTGTGTCCATTCAGACACTGATTAAGTCTGAGGTTCGCATCGACCAAGAAGAAACACAGCAAACCAGAACTATGATTGAAAAACTTACGGAAAGAATAGATCAGTACGAGAAGACGTGGAAAGTTAACTTGAAAAGAGAGAGTCAGCTGAGCATTTTCTTCGAGCCGACAACTTCCGTCGAGTGGGAACACCAGTCGGTGGGGTTGTCGGCTTGCATAGCCGAGGGGACATCTATTCTGGATCTTGTCGGGGAGATCTTCTCGCAGTTGGTTCCCCGTCATCAGTACCTCTATTACGCTCCCCTGAACGGCACCGTCTCTTTCCAAATGCCGATCGCGCACCCTCCGACAGAGTCGGAACAGTCTAGAGCGTCCGCGGAGGAGGCGGGCCAGTCGACCGCAGCGCCATCTGCTACCGACTTGCCTCCCGACGGATCTGCGACCGAAACGTTTCGCGACACGGTTACAGATGGCGCTGCCGTGCGACTCACCGACGGCGTCGAACAGGGCACCTTCGACAGCGGTGCGGAAGAGGGAAAACTCGGCGTGAAGTCCCGCGCCAAAGGGAACAAATCGCCCGGCACCCGCCACCAGGATGGCGCGAAGGACCCCGCTGGAAGTGGTGGCAGGACCGGACAGGCCATCCTTTCAGCCGCTGGGGAGGAGACACAGGCTAATCACGATCTGGCGCCCTCCGAGGGAACGTTCCTGTCTTCGGTCATATCGGGGGAGGCGCCGGGGTCATCTAGCTACGCAGCCGACGTGTCTGGCAATCAGGACTCGACGACCCCGACGGCCACCAGAGCCAAGCACAAATCGGCCAAGTCGCAGAAACGCAGTCGGCGTGAAAACGAGAAGAAGAAGCCATTGCTTTCAAAATGGAAGATCCCGAGGTGCGGATGATGATATTTGGGGATGTTGAGGACCCGGATGACTCCAACAATTTTATCCAGAAGATCAAACGGAAGATCCTCACCGTGCTGGAGGAGACAAAGACTACGGCGGTCGGCTTCTATGCCATGAAGGGCAGTCGGGCGGTCACTCGTCCGGGCTTCATCCCGGCCACGTTCGAGGAGTTCCTCGCCCTCGTCTACGCCCGTTTACAGGTGCACTACGCTCAGAGCGTCGAGTACCAGCTGTCGTGCTTCGCCGAGTTCTGTGACGAGTTCAGCGCGTTCGCGGCGCAGGCGGCGAGCATCCCGGCGCTGGTGTTTCGTCATCAAGCGCAGCTGTACTGTCGCCGGGCGGCGAGTCTAACGCGCGACTGCGAGCGTCAGCTGGCAGCCCGGCAGGACGAGTGGCGGCGCACGGCCGCCGAGCTAGAGCGCCGACTGCGGCCGGCCCTCGGCCACCCCAACATGCACCCCCGCCTGCTGGCGCTCGTCGAGCAGGCCATCGCCGAGAAGGAGACGTACGTCGGTGAGCTGCACGCACTCGACGGCGAGTGCGGTGTGGCACGTGACGAGCTGTGCCGCGGCTTTGAGCTGAGCGCGGCGTACGTGGCGCAGTTGTGCAGTGCCGCGCTGTTTCCGCTGGCCGGTGCCGCGCACCTCAGCGCCGATGGGCGGCGGTCGCTGGAGCTGGCGCTGGCGGCGGCCGTGGAAGAGGCGCGCGCCGCGTGCCTCGAGGCCTGGGCCAGCGAGCGAGTCGCCGGAGTTGAAGTGTGGTCCGCCGCCGCCCAACCGCCGGCGGACGCCTGCGCCAAGTGGGAGAAGGCCTGGTTTAGTGGCGTGGAAACGATCCAGGAGCTGTTCCGCGTGTGTGAGGCGTAATACACGACATCCCTTCCCTTGGCGTTGTGTATCAACAACGTCTAGCTGCAGTCGTCTTCCGCCGCCTGCTCGTGACACCACCCCTGTTCACCCGATCAGTTCGCAGCCTAAACCGCCGCCAACGGGATATGTCGTACCCCACTCAGGCGGTACCAGCCAGCGACTCGCACAGCCTTCGCGGCGCGCCAGGCTTCGTCACAAGCCTTGACCGCGCGCCGGGCGGCGGCCGCCTGGGCGGGGCCGGCGCCGGCGGTCCGGCCGGCACGCCCGCCGGCGCCGCCCAGCGCCGGAGAAAGCGCCGCCGACGCGGCCGGCTGCCCCAGCACTGATCACGCGTTGACGGCCGGTCACTCCGGCGCCGCGTCCGCCGGAAGCGGCCGTCGGTCCCGGGCCGCGGCGTCCGACTGTGTCCGCGCCGAGTGGCGCAGCGAGGCCGATGTCAGATGACCGCAGTGCGGTGTACGGGCGGGCGGTGGTGCGGGACAGATGGGACGCGCAGCGGGACCTGTCCGGCCCGCAATCCCCTCCGGGCTGCCTTCCCTCCAACGCGTTGCTGGCCAGGCGCACCCGGTGACAGCCGAGCCGGCAGGCAGACACTGCTGACATCTAGCGGGAATTGGGCGATGCGAGCGAAGGGTCAGAGGTTGCACCGCCGACGTCGGACCCAATACATGCAGGTGTTCGGTGGTTGGTGTCTGATGACCTCCACGTCACGCTTTCGAGATGGCTGTCCACCATACAGTGGCAATCGCTCAAAGCTTTAATGATCGCTATCACTTTTAATTGCCTTCCTAGTTAGTAAATTCCAGAGCGGTCTAATTCTGACATAAAGTTTTCATAGGGCATTGATTGATTGCTATCTAGTAGTTTCTATCGTAATGCGCTCATTAAGCAGCGCAACTCAGACGTGATGAGCATAGTCGAGGGGCTGAATCATGACGTGAGGCCACGTGCTCCACTTGTACGACCTATTGATGCATGGGCAATAATTACCAAGCTGCGGCATTTTACAATGGTAATGCCGGCGTCGGTTGCAGAGGACTGAGCTGCGAAGGTCAGCAGTGGGGCGTGGACGTTTGTCATCAGCTGCTGACGCCAATCACGGCCCTGCGGTGATAGGGCTGTGTCTGGGCCGTAAATGTCAGTGTTTGTCTGCAGCCGCCCGGGCGTGAGGCGTGAACGCCGTCGTGCGCAGGCAGACCATGTTCGCCACGGTGCTCCTCCAGGTCGGTTAATGAAGCAGAAACAGCGCAAGCCATCTCGGGACACTTTATTGCCAATACGCTCAAACCGTGGACATTTCTTAACAATGACTAGTCTAGACCGCAAAAATTGGAATGCTTCACGGACATTTCCATTGTATAAATACGCACTCTATTGTCAGTGTCTTTGATTGCACGTTTATTATCGTCTATGTTCGAGGAGAACAATAGTGATCCATTTTTAACCTAGTCGGTATCAGTTGATCAGTTCTGGGATATCATCAGAAACCAGTTAATGGCTTCGAACTTCCGATTAAGATTCGACCAATCCCGGGTTCTTCCGGAATCCGTTCACAGGGGTTTACAGCGACAGTAATGAGCTCCTACCAAAAGATGCGCGCCTCAAAACTAATGCACCATACCTACTACCTCATTCGCTACCATTGCAGCGCACGCCATAAATAAATACGAACACGTCTGCGGCCGTGCCGGCCTCCCCGCGGATCACGCTGACTACGCCTCTGAACACGCTAATTGCAGCACCTCAGGTAACTTCGCGAATTGGCAGCCTCGAGTCCCCCCCCCCCCCTTCAGTTAGGCTTGACACCACCGACGGCCGCCGGCGGTGCTAGGTAGATCGGTCGCCGCCGTCGCCGTCGCCGCCGTCGCCGCCGCCGCTCGCCGGCTCCGACGCACCAGCCGACTCGTCGATCTGCAGCGACGGCGGCTCGTCCGGACTGTCCGGCGTTTCGACGTCGATCTCGTCCGAGTCGGAGTCAGAGTCGGAGTCGGTGCGGCTGCCGCCAGTTGAGGCGGCCGGCGAGCCGCGGCGCACCGTGTACGGCCGCCGCGGAGTTTCGCCGTCCAGGATGGTCGGCCCGTCCGACTCGTGCTTGCGCAGGTGCCGGTCCAGGTTGGTCTGCTGGCCGAAGCAGCGGTCGCAGAGCGGACACCGGAACGGCTTCTCCTTGTTGTGGATGTTGCGGATGTGGCGCTGCAGGTTGGACGAGATGCTGAACGAGCGCTCACAGTACTTGCACTTGTACGGCTGCTCGCCCGTGTGCGTGCGCAGGTGGCGCGTCAGGTTGGCCGAGCGCGGGAAGTTCTTGCCACAGAACTTGCACCAGTACTTGTCCTTGAGCCGGCTGGTGCTCTGTGTCTGACTGCGCGACACGTTGATGGGCTCGATCTGCGCGCGCATCATCTGGAACGTGCCGGGCGGCTTCTCCTGCGCGGGCGGCGCCGGCTCGGGCGGCGGGCCGCGCCGCAGCGGCGCCAGCTCCAGCCCGGCCGTGCGCACCACCATGGGCCGGGCGAACTCGGGCCTTGCCGTCGGTGCCGGCGGACCGTGGCGCGCCTGCAGCAGGTATGCCTGCGCCTGCGGCGGCGACAGCTCGGACGCGGCGGTCACCAGCCAGGCGCCGTCGGGCCCGGCGTGGTAGGCGGGCTGCAGGCGTGGCTGCGGGTCGGCCCGGTACGCCGGCGGCCGCATGAGGAGCGGCATCGGCTGCACGGCTGGGTAGGACTGCGGCGGTCCGGCCGCCGAGTGCGGGGAGCCGCCGGCGGGGCGCGCCGCCGCCGCCAGCTCCTGAACGTGCACCGACGATCGCGCCGGGCCTTCGGCCGGTGACCGGATTGAGGGGTGGGCGGAAGACCTCGAAGGGAAGTGCATCGCGGTGGCGTCCTTCGGCACCGCGTCCGTGTGCACGGGGGACGGCGGAGGGTGGCGTAGGGGCGACGCCACGGTGCGGTATACCGGTGACCCCGCAGGTGGCTGCAGATGCGACTCGGGTAGAGGGTGCGCTAGTGACACGGCGGGGTGAAGTGCTGGAGACCCTGCTGCAGGATGCAGTGGCGACTCCACAGAATGCTCTGGTGACCTCGCTAGATGGTGCATCGGTGACTCTGTCGGGCGGTATATCGGTGACCGCCTCGGGGGATGCACTAGGGGCCCCAGTGTGCTAATTGCAGGGCGCATCATCGAGCTTGGATGCTCTCTCGATCTTGCTGGCAAGTGCAACGGTGACCTGACCAGCATGTACCCCGATGAAGCCGCTGGCGGGTGTGTCGGTGACCCAGAGGGCTGTTGCGGCGGGGAAGCGGCCTGACGGAACACCGGTGACCCCGTGGGGGGCCGCAGTGGCGAACCTGCCGCAGACACCGCTGGGCCCGTCGAATGATGAGTCAGTGATCCCGTGGAATACTGAACTGGCGACACTGTTGGAGGGAGCGCCGGAGACCTCGCTGGGAGATGCGACAGTGGCTCCTCTGGAGGAGCCAGCGGAGACCCCAGAGGATGAAGCGATCGCAACTCCACCGCAGGGGAGGTCGATGACCCCGCTGAGTGATGCGTCGGGGACGCCTCGGGAGGGAAGCGGCGGCGAAGCCGCTGACGGCTCCCCGGGCGGCGGCGGCGGCTCGATGGCCGGCCCCTCGGGCCACCTCTGCGGCCCCACCTCGTTCATATTCTCGTCCTGGTCGGCCGGCTTGCGGACGGTGAGGTCGAGCGGCTGCTCGGCGGCGCCGGCCAGGCTTGGGTCACTGGCCGGCGACATGCGCTGGTGCTCGGCGCGCCGCGACAGGTCGTACGGCACCTCACCGGCGCCCTCCGACGGCCGCACGTCCACCTGCAGCGGCCGCTCGTAGCGCGGGTACGGCGTCTCCTGGCTGGCGCGTAGGCGTTGGCGCGGGCTGAGCGCCGCCGCCGCCCGCTGCTGCTGCTGCTCGCGCCGGTAGCGCTCGTTGTGCCGCTTCTTCCACGCGGTGCGCAGGTCTCGCCGCGGCGGTGGCGATGGCGCGTCGGGCGCGTCGAGCCGCACGCCCGCCGGCGCCGGCAGCCGCGCCAGCTTCGCCGCGAACGGCAGCTGCGCCTCGCCGGGGACGATCATGGCGCGCGGAGTCTGCAACGTACGAGTGTGTCAGCCCGCGGTGGAGCGCTGGTGGCCGGGGACCGAAGGGAGGCCAGAGACGCTGGTGGCCGGGGGCCGAAGGGAGGCCAGAGCTGGTGGCCGGGGGCCGAAGGGAGGCCAGAGACGGTGGCCGGGGCCGAAGGGGGTCAGAGACGGTGGCCGGGGGCCGAAGGGGGTCAGAGACGGTGGCCGGGGGCCGAAGGGGGTCAGAGACGGTGGCGGCTGTACAGGCGCATTTGGTTATAAATTTCAATGCGCTTAGTGGCGAAGCACAACATTTCACTTGCTAACTTTGTTCAAGTTTGTTGTTTGTTTGCTCAATTGTTCAAGTTCAAGGATTGTTCAAGAGCTGTACAAATTAATGGCGTCATCTTTCGTGCGTAAAATAGTCGATTTTTCAGAGGTGCAGAAGTACAGCTGAACTGACGGAGTTGGTATGTTTTGTGGCGTCCAGGCTATTATTTGCGCAGTTGGCCCACGTAGTGGTCTCAAAAACATATACGGCGTCCAAGGCAAGGCATCTGCATCGTCTCAGTGCCATAGCAATAAGACAACGTCCAGAACCTATATCTTAAATTGCCGTAGCATCCATTCTCCATGGCTCTCAGGGTGGACTCGTGCATATAAATGGCTGCAGCCAGCGTGCCGCTTCTCACGTGTAATGGTGGAGCTCAACAACGTAACGATCGCCGGAGTTTACGACCACTCCCCGGGTGAAAACGTGATATTTCAATATCACTTGTCAGACACCGGGATCTGGCGTGCACCGCCGCGCCAGGCGGTGGGCCGTGTCTCGCCGAGGTCTCCTTCAGAGCCCAGGGCTTGGCTTCTGGGCGGCCTGGGCAAATTAACTTCGAGTGACTTCGCCAAATGCATGGTCGACAAAGTTAAAGCACGGATGGACCTGCCACTCATTTTGCCAAGATGTTCTTCCGAAAGCCACGGGAGATCTGACATTCTGCGTCGAATCCATCCCCACCATTCCGGAACACAAGCACCACCTCAGCCACCTGTTTCAAACCGCAAAATACAGCGAATCGCAGCGTTAACCAGGACACCGCGGCTCGACCATGACTTCGTGGTAGCGTCGCCACGGGCTGTGGTCCACTTACAGACTTCCGGCACTGAGCACAGGGTTAGCAAATCGCCCCAATTAATAGCCGGGTGTCGGGCGGTCGGTCGGAGACTGCACGTCGCTGCGGCCTCACAGGAAGACATCCCCTGCAGCCGGCTGGGTGATCGCACTGCAGCACAGGCAAGTAACACCAGATGACTGCAACGCCGCGGGAAGACGAGCGCGGATCACGCGCGTGGACGTCTTTCCTGAACTGGCCTGACCAACGGTCGCTGAGCCGGGAACGGGCGCTCGCACTATCGTGCACCGATAAGCCGTCGCTCGCGCCCTGCAACCTCATAAAAGAGCTTAACGATTGCTTTATCGGCTCGGGCTCTTAAGCGATCGGCAGTGTCCCGCCCGGCGGGTCGGACCGCGCCTGCTCGCATCCATCGGGCTCTGGTGGGACCTGCCGGTCGGCCGCCGCCCGGACAGGCCCATCAGTCGGCTAACCCGGTGTAATGATGTGGCCGGGCAATAAATCGTGCGGCCCGGCCCGCCATGTGACACTGACACTGACACCGACACCGACAGCGCGGCGCTGGGCACGGCGGAACGCGGCGACGGCGGTGGGGGGGGGGGGGGGGGAGGGGGGATTAGCCGCGACGTGTCGGACGTGTGTGCACGGCGGCACGGATGAGTTGCTGGAGTGGCGCTGGACAAGCAGGTAAGATCGCACCCTATCGCTGCAGTGCGTGACGACTATGATTTAAGGAACAAAGAAGGTGATTTTAATGAAACTTCTAATCCTTTGATTGCTGGGAACAGAACATACCCTAAAAAAACATGGAATTGGGGTGAATCATGTGTGACGTATAGCACATCACGGACTCGACAATTCCAAAGCGACCGGCTTTATCGCGCTGTCCACGTCATGGACGTTAAAGCTCCAGGCCGCCTTACGGGCCTGACTCTCCGATCGGCGGGCGGAACGCCTAGCCGTGGGGTCTACCTCGAGTCGTGACGGTCGGCAGCGGCCGTGACCAGCGGCAACGCCAGACGCGTCCCTCCGACACGTCGGTCTGAGAGGGCGCGGCGGCCGGGCTGGCCCCAGAGGAGCCGCCGCCCCAGGGTCGGGGCGTACCGCGGCTCCCCGCGCCTCACATCCCGTCCAGCTTCCTGGAGCCCAGCTCGGGCCCGGCTGCTGAATGCCTGTGCTGTCCGATTAATTGCAAAGGGTTGTAGTTGTAAAAGCACGTTTGCAATTGTTATATCACGGTTGCAGCTGTAATTTCAGGGTGGTAGTTGTAATAGCGCGGTTTTGGTTGTAATATCATTGTTGTAGCTGTAATAGCACGGTTGTGGTTGTAATATCACGGTTGTAGCTATAATAGCACGGTTGTATTTGAAACAGCACAGTTACAGTTGCAATACCATGGTTGTAGGTGTAATATCACGGTTGCAGTTATAATAGCAGGGTTATAGTTGCAATATTACGGTTGCAGGTGCAATATCACGGTTGTAGTTGTAATATCCCGATTGTGGTCGCAATATCACGATTGTAGCTGTAATATCACGGTTGTAGTCGTGATATCACGTTTGTAGTTGTAATATCACAGTTGCGCCGTCACGTGCAGCTGTCTATTCATAGTCCTTGGTGATGGCGGGGGAGGAGGAAAAGAGCGGGAGAGGGAGAAAGAGCGCGTCGAGCCTGCGACGGCACGCCAGACGTCACCGGCTGCCGGCACAGGGCATCAGGAACGTACCCATTGGCTGGTAGCGGGGTCATGACCCGCCCCGCCCTCCACGTGTGACCTCTGGCCCCCGGACCCGCGCGATTGGTTGCTGTGAGCCGGCAGCACGACTTCAATGAGCAGTAGCCTAGCGAGACATCAGGAGTTATCCCGGGAGTTCAGTTGTGAATGGCACCGGGTAAAGGAAAGACAATGATAAATCTAGACGACACGGCTTTGCTGCCTCATAATAAGCTTATACGCTCTCTGTACTAGCAGGAATAGACGGATTCAGCCTAGAATGCTTCCCGGCTGTGATCTAATATCTTTTGTAAAATGGTCCATAGTCAAATGCATCACTTCGAAGTACAGGTTTCTCCCATTCCAAGCCCGGTGATGTAATTGGACAAGCCCAGCCAGAATAGCGGCGCGTAACCTAAGGCTCAGAGATGTTTTACAAATAACTGGGGCGTGGAGTTACTTCGACACTGGAAGCCCCTTTCACTTCAGTAAAATACGTGATTTCCGCGGTCGTTTCGTTACTAAATGCGCCGTTTGTTGCGCATTCTTCCCTCTAGCAGGTGAGCTGCTGACACTGGGCTACATCGGAACATTACCCCTGCTGAGCCCCCAGAAGCTTGCCACCAGTGGCGCCTCACGTTGACACCACGCATCTCCAGAGCGCCACCTCGACGCGCGGTGCTCTCCCTCAGCGGGGAGCGCACCCGCGGACGGCGGCGGCGGCGGCCGGTCCACGACGCGGCCGTTGTCTCGCGACCTTGCCGTGCGCCACGCCCCAGCGCGCTGGAGCGGCGGCCGGCGCCCGTGTCATAGCTCTCGATGTTCCGCGTGGCTGGCCCCGCCGCCGGCCGAACTAATGACGACACGGAGCAGGGTGCCGACGCACCGCGCACGGCCGGAGGAATGCGCCAGGGGCCGCGGGCCGCACGGCACGGCACGGCACGGCACGCCTGCCTCGGGTCCAGGAAGTGCCCTCGCCTGTCGGATGCTGGCAGTAATCATGTTTTACATGAAAAACTGACTGTTAGTCTGTGAGGCGTGTGACTGAGTCTGTTAAGCCGTGTTTTTTTGTGATGTGGTGGTGATGTTCCCGTCTAGCCGGAAACATAGAATCATGCAAAAGGGGTTCGTCATTTTCCGTTCGGAATAAAAATTATCGGGCCCTGCAATGTGACCACACCCACAGGAAAACCAAGCCAAGACGTGTGCACTCCACCCAAGCCCTCTGGAGCTGATGCAGAGGTAAACGAGTACAAGAAAGGTCAAAAAGAAAACTTCGTGTGCTCGCGTTCCATGCGTACTTCATGTCCTTTTATTTCGAGCGAAGTGGCAAGCTGAGCTTTTCTTAATGCCAACAAACCCGTAAGATTGCTGTTTTACTGGACTCGCCCACCCAACCTCCGATGGTCACAATCTCGGCGTGATTAATTCTTTGCTACCACTGATTGCATAGTCATACAGTTCCCAAAAAGAAGCACGATTCTTTGAAAAGCTCGGTCACATATTTTCCAGCTGTTTACTTGTAAGGTGTTTGATCGTAACTGATTTTCCTGCAGCATTTCAATGCGAACGAGGCATAGCCCTTTCGCTTGTAAAACACCGGGAGCACATCTTACTCTAATTGCGAACGAAGAACGAAGCTGCGCGCCGCGGCTGTAAACCCAGGCCCAGCTTCGCCCGCGACGTTGCAGCGATACGGAACTAGTGCCGTTTACCGCCACCGGTATTTTTGCCTCCGTCAAACCGCACTTACAGTCTTATGAGGTTCTTATTTAAAATAAGTCAATGTGAGGGTGGCTCATAAATGACAATTACCGGAGAGAAGTAGAAATGACACTGAGTTCCAATGACGAGGCGAGCTCGACGCTGAACCATGTTCCAATGACGAGGCGAGCTCGACGCTGTGTCATGTTCCAATGATGAGGCGAGCTCGACGCTGTGCCATGTTCCAATGACGAGGCGAGCTAGACGCTGTGTCATGTTCCAATGACGAGGCGAGCTCGACGCTGTACCACGTTCCAATGACGAGGCGAGCTCGACGCTGTCCGATCCAATAGATGCGCCCGCG